TGGATGAACTTGGTTTTGTTTCTTTTGGTAATTTGTTTGTGTTGTAAGTTGTTAAGCATGTTATGTTATGGGATTTCTACTCTTGTTTCTATGGTGCTTCATTGCTTCATATACTCAATCTGTTATCAAGTTGAAATCTTAAATTTTTGTAATATGTACCTTTCATATTTGCTTTGCTGACTTGACCACTGGAGAACACTTCGACAACACTCCAATGCCTTTTTCCACTCTTGCAGGTTTTTTTTCTTTTCTTTTTTTTTTTCATTTCATTTACTTTTCTATCATTTGCAATCCTTGATTGTTTTAGTTACTGAAAGGGAAACAATTTCTGTAGATTGAAGTGAACAGCAAAGGGTGTTCCTGTCTAGGAATCCATAACAGAAAAGAACTCAACTCTCATTAATCCTAAGTGGTAAGTTTTTTGACAAAGAATTTTATTTAATTTTCATTAGGGCTTTGTACATTTTTCATCATAGATAAATTGATTTTTGGGTATGTATGGCTGAAATTGGGCTCCTTTGAAATGCAGATTTCAGCACAATCGGTAGGCAATTGGCAAGAAGAGATCCAGGCGCTGGTCTCTGAGAAACTCCAAGCAGTAAGTATCGATTTTGCTGTTTTCATTTTCTGTCCTTCTCTGTACTTTGATCCTTCAAAATTAATATTATTCACCTACAATAGTAATATAATATGCTTTTCAGGTTCTTAAGCTAGAAGTTTATACAAGTTTCTGATAATAATTAGTATCATTTTCAGATTTCCTACAAGTGGCTGAGTTGCAACCTTTTGGTTTCATGAAATGTTTCAAAGAGGTGAACATCTTTCCTCTCCAAGAATTTAGTTAAAGTTCACATTCACAAGCCTCAAGAATGGAGACACAAACTCATGATTGTTGATGAATTCTTTTGCTACCATAAATGAAAATTTTTGAATTCTATAGCAAAGCAGTAATGTGATAATTCTTCTCTGAATTTCTTGCAGAAGCTAAGCAAGAATTTGATGGCAATAGCTTGGTTCAGGTGTACAGTGTTCAAGGATCTATTGCAAAGTTTTTTTGATCAACAGATGCATTGCAAAGTATTGTGAACCGTGTGCTCTGGAATGCTGAATTTTTCCAGGCTTCAAGAGCTTTCCTAGAGTAGCAACCTTCAAATATTGAAAATTCTTTAGGAGACAACAGGTAGGCCCTTTTCTGGTTATTTTACTTTAGATTTTTTGAGAATTTGGTAATTGGTTCTGCCTTTGGCTATCTTCTCGTAAAACATTTTTCTTTTGGAGATCACAACTTCCTTTCAAGTTGTTTGCCTCTTGAAGTGCTTATCTTCTCATATATTTTTATCTGCTAATAAAGAAAATTCTATGGTGGTGTTATGAAATGCTTTTAATGGACATTCATTTACTAATTATTTAGCTCTTTTGGATGTGTAGGTTCATTAGGAAACTTATGTGATTGTGTTTCTGCAAAGTTGAAGTCCAGTTAAGCACCAGCTGATGGTCCTAATTTTAGTAAAGATTCAAAAGGTGAAGCCAACAAGAAAAAGATGGTGGTTTTGGATTCGTTGGGTGAAGACAACTATGAAGATGCCATCAATTTAGCATCACCCTATCCCACCAAACAGCTACCATGTATTGATCCAAAAGTTGTCAACAAAATCAATAACAGTGAAAAGTCCTCTACAACTAAGAATGAAAATCTGCTTTCTGAAACTGATATGAATAAATTACCTATATTAGAAC